ATTTGTCCGGAAGTGACCTCATTGAAACGTATAATGATTCGTAAAGGGCATGATAGAGTAAATGCTGCGAGGATGTTTCCCATCATGGGAGAAGCTGGGATCAGAGGCAATAGTTTCAAAATAAATGGGTGCCAATAAAAGACTGCGATGAGGAGGAATTTCTTCTCTAAGGGTTGAATGTCTTTGGAACTCCTTGCCACAGACAGCTGTGAGGGAGAGTCCTTGTGTATATTTAAGGCTGAGATAGAGAGATTCTTGATCAGGAGGGGAATTCGGGTTATAGGGAAAATGCAGGAAAGTGGACGTGAGGAATATTGGATCAGCTATGATCCTACTGCATGGCAAGGCAAGCTCGAGAGGCCAAATTGCCTATTCCTGTTATCTCCTATGGATATCCATGATATCTACTACAATACCTTCATTATCCTGTTCTGTTACCACATCAAAAAATTCAAGCAAGTTAGTAAAACATGAATTGTCCTTAATTTGCTGGTTTTCCTTAATTAATCAACATTTGGACAAATTACTCTTCCCTTTGTCCCTGATTAGCATTTCCAATAGCTTTCCCATCATCAAGATCAAACAATCTGGCTTATAATTGTTGGGGTTATCTTTGCAATTTTTTTTTTTTTAAACACGACCTGGCAATTCTCCATTTAACTCAGACCATCCTTGTATCCAAGGAGAACTGTAAAATTATGACCAATGTCTCTTCAATTTCTACCCTTACTGCCCACAGTATTTTTGGATACATTTTGTCTGCTCATGTTAACTTACCAACTTCAAGTGCAGTCAGCCTATTAAATACTTCCTCTGTCTTGACTATGTCTTTCTATGGGTTTTTGTTCATAAGTCAAATGCAAAATCCTTATTTCATCACTCAGCCATGTCCTGTCTCCATGTGTTCTGATGAAGATTTACTGGATCAAAATGTTATCTGATTGTTCTCCACAGATGCTGCCAGACCTGCTAAGTTTGTCCAGCAATTTCTGTTTTTGTTTCAGATTTCCAGCATCCAGAGTTCTTTGTTTTATTTTATGAAAATCCCCTTTTATGTTTTAATGAGCCTAGTCATTTTACTAACCATTTACATGCCATAAAAGACTTCTAGGTTTCATTTTAGATACAAAACTTCTATATTCAGCCTGATTTTGTTTGTATTATCCAACTAACATTTGTCCTATTTTCTTACTTGTCCTTTTCCAACTGCTTCTCTTTTTATTCAGCTAGGGAGCTCAGGACTTGCTTGCCTTCCTTTTAATTTTCTTCAGAATGTACCTTAACTGTACAAAAACTATCTTCTCTTTAAAGGCAGCCCCTTTTTTTCAGTAGTTTTGCCTGATAATCTTCAATTACTTTTTATTTGTTCATGGGATATGGGCATCATAGGCTAAACCACCATTTATTGCCTATCCATCAATGAGGCCAACTAAGAGTTAATCACATTATTGTGGGTCTCAAGTCACAGGCAAGGATGGCAGATATCCTTCTTCAAAGGTGAACGAGACAGGTTTTTACAAGAACAATCAATTGTCATGTGTTAGCTTTGTTTACATGGGACTAGTAATCCAAAACCACAGGCTAGTGCCACTATCACCTCCTCTGTGCCAGATTTATTCTCACTCCATTGATATTGATCCTTCTCTAAATTTCTTTTGTCTATTACCATAGCTGATCTAACCCTTCTGTTGCGACAATCATGGTCTCGCAAGATACCAGATTCACCTCAATCAGAAATAGTCCAGCAATGCTCCTTTCCTTGTTGAGCTGGATATAGATATATAGAAAAGTCTCCTGAACACATTCTAGAAACCTTTGCCCTCTTTTAACCACAGACTGGGGTAGTAGTAGGTAAGAGAATTAGAATTCCCTATTATAACCATTCAAATTCTTGCACTGTCGTGCTTTCTTTTCAAATTTATTCCTCTATACCTTTTCTATTTGTTGATGGCCTACAGAACACCCACAGCATAAAATGCCCTCTCTATTATTTCTTAAATCTAACCAAATAGATCTCATTCATGATCCAACAGGCAAATTTCTTTCCAGCATTAAAATATACCCCTTAATAAGTAATGCCATCTCATCACCTTTCTTTCCTGAACACTTTGTATCCAGGAACATTTAGTACTCAGTCTGGCCCTTTTCTTGAGCCAGTTTTCAATTATTATTACAATATCATATTGTCACAAGGCCATCTGTGCCTGCAGCTATTAGGAGTCCTAATATTTCACAAAACTAATACCTTATCTCATATTTTTCCAGCCACACATGCATCTCTGCTATCCTCACTACTGTCAGTATTATGCACAAATCTAGATATTACTATCTCTGTGGCCTGCTTGATAGTTTTCTCCTTAGCTTGCTGAATTCTGCCTAGATGATGTCAACTATTTTTCTATCAATGTCATTAGATCCAAAGCCTCACAGTTCTCTGCAGTTGCTCACAGGAAAAAAAATGCTTCATAGAAGTATACAACGGACACTTACTTAGATACTAGAAATGGTGGCTAAAAGCTGTGTCAAAGAAGTGTTGATAGTTGTCAAGGAAAGAGGGGTCTGGGAACAGAATTCCAGTTTGGAATCTCAACAGTTGAAGGCATAGTTCCCAAGAACAGGGGGGTTAGGTAATTCAAAAAATTACTTATGGACATATGAATTTAAAATTGATGTATTACAAGTACTGGGAGACAATGTAGATCAATATCAAGAGAAATTTTAAGTGCAAAAACTGCTACAGGATTGCATACAGCAGTTGAATTTTGGGTAAACTCAAGTTCAAGTTAGGAGGCTGACCAAGATAGCATGGGAATAGCCTTTCTGCTCCTATGATGCTGCTTGGCCTGCTATGTTCATCCAGCTCTGCACTTTGTTGTCTCGGATTCTCCAGCATCTGCAGTTCCTACTATCTCATGGGAATAGTACAGCTGGGTAATATTTTGCAGTGAAAATTGGTAGCATTTGTGACAGAGCAAGTTGGAGGTTAGACACTCAGTTTGGATTTGAATAGAGTGCCGAGGTTAGACTAAATCTTATTCAGCCTGAAAACAACAGTTAAGAAGTAAATTGGAATCAATAATAAGGGACCAAACGACAGAGGCTACAATCAACTGTATGGCTAGCCAAAAGCAATTAGGGCTCACCCACAACTGAGCAGTACACAGTGTAAAATCAGTGAAAGGATCAAAGTAGTGCTGGAAAAAATAAAACTGGTTTGTTGTTAGCATACATGAACCGACAACTGCAGGTGGTGGTGCAGTCTGTGGAGTAGTGGTAGCGTCCCTGCCTCTAAGCATAAGGCTCAGGTTGAATTTTCATCTGTTACGGGGTGTGTAATAATGTAATTAGAAAATATCTATAAGATGAGGAAGCAAATTACTACAGATGCTGGAATTGGTACTGAAATCAAAAACTGCTGGAGATCACCGCAGGTCAGGCAGCATTCATGGAGAGAGAGCAAGCTAATCTTTTGAGTCTAGGTGGCTCTTCATCAGATGGAGGGTCTGATTAAGGGTCATCTGGACTCAAAACGTTAGCTAGCTCTGTGTCCATGGATGCTGCCTGACCTGCGGTGATCTCCAGCACTTTTTGTTTTCATCTATAAGACGAGAATAGGTCCTCCAGATTCCAGGAGCAGAGATGTGGTGTGAAAGAGCCATTACAGAACATGACCGAGATACAAGTGGATAAGTATGAGCCAAACCAAGCTATCCCAATAAACCAGTAATCAAAGGGAAGCAACAACACATTCAAGGATTTGAAACAAGAGGTATGCGCGAGATGAGATGAGATTTAAACAATAGCAAGTGGGCAATGATCAATGATGGCAATTTTTAAAGGTAGCACAGGACCCAAGGAGAAGGAACCATTCACTATATCAGCTTGCAAAAGGACAAGAAAAGGAAGGTCAGCACATTGTCAAGAGTTAATTATTATTCAACTAATTTCTAAACAATTCTAACTGAAAAAGTACATGTGTAATGCATCAATAAGGAGGTTCACTATTACTCAGTTTAGAAATCTGAAGGATATGGCTCTATATATTATACGAAGGACTGCTGCCACTAAAATTAGATCATCAACATATCTGTTCAGAATTACATATCTTTAGTGGCAACTACAAATTAATTTAATCAGCTAATATGATGTAAATTATTTTGAATCTTGAAACTACTTTAGCCAGGAATCATATTTTATTTTAAAAATTAAACTAACTGAAAACATCATACTTACACTTTGGCTAAATACCTTGAAAGTAAATTAGATTAATATAACTTATAATTCTACCTGATAAGTAGGAAACAAAAAAACAACCAATTTCATTGAATGATTCACCCCATATTATGTGCACATTTTTCCAAATGTATTTTGGCGTTCAGGATTTCTACCAATATAAAATCTACATTTCTACTGAGGTAAATGATTCCCCAATTACTGAAACGTGCCATAATCAGACTACCTAGAGTCAGGTATTAATTTTAAAAACAATCACCCCATTATGAGGATTCATGTGCAGTTTTATCTTGTGTTAAGTTTATGTTGAGTGAATTGTCTCCTGGCTGGACATCACAAACTGCAGACCGCCCTATAAATTTTCCAGTCTTCGTGTGTAAGCCTAGAAGACTGTGTCAGCCATGCTGCCATTCAAATGTGGCAACATTGCAGCCTTACGTTATGCGTAGTTTGCAGTGTATTTCAAATACAAGTAGGAAGATTGGCAAAAGAGCATTAGCCATTTTCCCATCAGAGGCTAAACTGTCCTTGTTCATGTGCCTTAGTAAAATCATTGCCAGTGATGCTAACTAAACAGGTATCAATTTATAGGACTGCATTAAAAACAAACAAATGAAACAATGTTATAACTAGTGTTTTGGCATGTCTTTAGCTAATCAGTAAAGAATTAGGCAATGCTAGATCTACTGCCAGCTGGACAATGGCTTTGGAAACAACAACAATTTCTCTCTAGTCAAGTCATTACATTGCTTCATTTAAAACCAATGTTCAAATGTTAAATTTAATAGTACTTGCTAAATGTCAATGTTTATTCACTGGTAAACAAACTTAAGGAGATCTTCATCCACTTAAAAGAAGATTTTAGTGCTCGACTGCCAACCCACGTCTCTTTAAGACATGGTAGACGCAATGCCAGTTTAGCATTGTTAAATAAGGGACAGAGTATGACAATTTTTTTAAAATATCTGAAATATTGCATTGGAATGGCCTTACTGCTACTCACAAGGAGTACACAAATTAGATACGAACTTACCGGACTTCACAAATTGCAGGAAACAAATCTTCAAAAATATTAAGAACATTGAACAGTATTAAAATTGTATGTTATGCAGGAGTGATGGTAAATAAGTTGTGATTAAAGGCAATAATCAAATATAAAATATCTCATATTAAAATGGCTACATTCAGACTATCTCATGTCATGTTAAAGAAATCAAATGTTTAGATAAGATGCTCATGTATACATAAGAACCGTGATTGCAAACTTTTGAAAACAATCACATTCAGCAATTATATACATTTTTATTAGATCTGTCCTGTGGATAGGTACATGCTTCTGCTTCATCTTCATCTTAGTGACGGAATTTTTTGCTTGTGTCCTTTGCATAATCCAGTAACATCTGGCAAGGTGAGAATTCATTGCCGTAAACGCTTTCATATTTTTTCATTTTGTCAACCAGTTTGTTTGCTCCATAGGCATCCAAAAATTTGAATGGTCCTAAAGTAAAAGAAATTCCATTTAAAACTTTGTTTCATTTTATCTCTATTTAACTTGAAACTAATTTCACATTACCACTGGACTATCCACTTTGTTAGGATCTTTGATATTTTAGACCAAGGCTTCTTAAAAATTGGGGTTTGGAGACCATGCGAGGTCACAACCTGAATGTTTGAGGTTATGATCACTGAGGCAGCAGCTGTGCTTCCACGGGCCTATGCTTTCCAAGTTCTCACTGAGGGGTCACCACAATTTAAGACTCAAAATAGGGCCGCACTGAGAAAAAGTTTTGCAAGTGCCCTTCTAGTCAATGTTTTTCAGATATTATATTTTAAGCAGATGATGTAACAAATGAGAACAATTTGTCTCTTGCATTGTTACTTCACTTCAGAAAAGTATCTAGAATTTTGAAGAGAATAAAAGGACACAAATGTTACTCAATTTTTGTACCAATAGTATTCAGAAATTAAATGTTCCTTTAGAAAATATTGTAGATAAAATTTTATGGAATCTTCTAATAAAATTAAGGTGAACATGCTTTCCACAATCCACTGGGAGCATTTGATGTAATGTTAAAACAAAAGGAGACTGCTAATTTTTCGTTCTAGGAAAACACAAGATGGCTAGTAGCTTGTGCAGAGTAATGGGTCCTTTCCAGTGCAGCAACTATTTTACCTCCAAGGCAAGGTGGGAACCCAAGTCCAAAAACAGCACCAATGTCTCCCTCAATGGGGTCATTTAATATTCCATCTTGTAGGCAGAGTACTGCCTCATTCACAAATCTTGACACCAGTCGCAACTGAATATCTTCATCTGATGAACTGAAAATGGAGAAAATGAGTCAGTAAATTCTCCACCTAAACAGAGAGAGAATGTAGGATACAGTACTACAAATTGTTGGTCTAAAAATTGCATGCTAACAATTCTGCACCTTTTCCCCACAATATCAAAGCACACTATGCATGGAATCTACTACTTTCAGACTTGGTCCAATAACAGGAAGAGATTAGCAGAGAGATACCCAGCCCGTTAGGTTATGAAACCCACCAGAACTTCCAGTGATCACAGGCACCTAATTGATTGCCAGCAGGTTTCCAATGGGGATCAGGACCCAAAATGAGGTAGTTTGCCCACCAAGAATTTCCTACCAGAGTAGCTACCACTCGACAGCAACATGGAGGCAGACATGGTTGTTGCTGGTACAGCATCCCCCAGATCTGATGGATAGAGAAGCAACTCAGAAACAGTTGAGCATGCTTGGTTGGGAGTCATAAGGTGAAACAAGATAGGCTCTCAAGCCATCACCCCCTGTACTATCTCTACCCGCTACCCTGTATTCAGATTAGTGCAGATCGCGAACCACCCAAGCCAACAATCTGCCTGCACTATTTACAAACTGATCAGGCTAGCTCTTTTTGTCCCACCTGCAGCCCAGGTGGGTAAAAATCCTTACATGATGCTTCATCTTTTGTGCACAGCCTATATGTGCCATGTGTGGTACTATGTTGATTTCTACCTGATGCTTAACAATGCAGTTACAGTATAGGTAGTGTATGTTTTCAAAAATAAAGTAAAAAGTCTTACCAGACCATAGGGCTGCTCTCTGAGTGAGACAATTGGTGGTAGTTTAACTTGAAGGTGAGGGAGGAGGATGAGATAGTAATCTCAGTTAGTGAGGGAATTGAACCCAGGCTGTTGGTACTAATCTACATCACAAACCAGCCATCCAGCCAACTGAGCTACCCAATGCTCCTGTAAAATGTCACTGCTTGCAAAATATTTGTGAAAATCCTTTCATTATGAAAGTCATTATATAAATGCAAGCCACTTCTTTCTTTATCCTAACATGAGACAGACAGGCCCCTAGCACAGATCTTGTTCTAAACAACAGCAACACATTTCAAACGTAATTCATTGGCTGTAAAAGCCCTTTGGAACATCGAGGACAAAGGTGCAGTAGAAATGCTGGCTTCATAGAAAGTTACTGAGCTATTTAATACCAGCTATTTGTTAGTCAGGGTTATCATGAACTATGGAATTGGGTGAATAAGATTAAATTGTATTTGTAAAGTATTTTGCATTTTACTTACACCTCAAGGTTAGCAGGCAGCTTAAAACGTTCTAAAATTTCCTTTGCGCCTGGATTCAAAGTTTTGCCTTTCACACCTGCCTGATAAAGGTAGCAACCTTTTCCCGTCTTACGGCCTGAAATTGAAGGCATTAGAACTGAAATAGATTTTTTAAAATTCTGGTAAATAGGAATCAGAGACCTACAATTCTCAATTGTTATAGTAACATCTAATTGTTTCAGCAGTGGTAAAAATTAAAACAGAAGTAACTAGTGAAATTTTAAGTTGGGATCACAGTATTCGAAACCCCTGCCATTGTGAATAATTTCCCTGAAACAACTTTGTCAATCCTTTCATAACCATCTCATCATCTACTTTTTGCCCAGTAGACTTCTGCTAATTTTGCAATATGGTCAGGGATGCAGGAGGACATTAAGGGACAGCAGCAGGAATGAGGTGAGTGAAAACAATATTCAGGAATCAACAAATCAGTGAAGGATCGATTAAAATCTGGGAGCTCGGGTAAAATGTATGAAAGATTGTTACCACTATTGGAATAATGGAGATCATGTAACCTCACCGAAAGTACGTATGGTGGAGAGGAGAGGAAAAGAATATACTTCATCTCTGGTAACAACTGAAGCAGAGATTAGTACATCATGTAAATAACAATGGAAGGTACTTGTCTGCAGAGACCAAACTCTTAAAAGGTAGAAAATTCAGCAACACTATATTTTTCAGAATTAGTTTTCCATTAGGATTTCTTGGACAATCAAGAAAAGCATTAGGAATAAGCTGAACACCAAAGACAATTTAAGGACAATTACATAGAATCAGCTAGAACGGGCTTGGGGAAAAATATGCAAGTTTAAAATTCTTCTGATCAATCAACTCAGATATGAGATGCATGTAAGATTTGGGAGCAACAACACAAAGTGAGGAATTTAATGCATAAAACAGGAGAAGCAATATTGAATCAATTGCAAAAGCAACAGTGAGGAAAACTTGAAGATTAGATAATGGATTTTAAAGAAATCCATTGATAAATAATCAGCTGAATTTACTCCTACTGTAAAACAGAACTGTGTTGCAACTCTAGAATGTGACTGTGTACTGCACCAGAACTAGGTGATAACAAATAGCAAGTGGCAAGTATGAGGAACAATCTGAAAGGTTACTCCAACAATTTGGACAACATCCTATTCAGTGGTATTTTTAATAAAAAAAATTTTCTTATATGGTATTTGTAGTTTTTTTCTTCACATCACTGTTGAATTTACTTACCTAAAAATCCCTTTGCCACCATCTCCTTTAAAAGTTCAGCGCTTCCACCTGCCATTCGAGAGCCAAAAGCTTTTCCTAAATCCTCTGCAACATGTGCTGCGACGTCAATACCAACTTCATCAATCAATGTGGCAGTGCCCACAGGAAATCCATAGCCAGTTGTAACTGCATCCAGTTTCTTTGGGTCAGCATGTTCCTTGAAATGCAAATCATTTCTATCTTAGGTGCAAATTTCAATAAACAGAAGTGCATTTTGCTCAAAAACATCATCCAAATACCTCAAAAGATTAAGAGGAAATGTCATATTAAGATACAAAATCTACTGCATAACCTAATGTTAAGTATAGCTAGGAGAATTTTCGTGGAGGAAGAGGTAAATAACCCCCTTCTTAAATTCAAAATAAATTGGCAACCGTAAAATGAACATGGAAAAACCTAAACGGAACCCTGCAGAAAAATTGTAAAAGTGAAAGCTCATGTACAGCCTAGATTTTATTTTCCTACAAAATCTCATGCCATTAATTTTAGAGCATTTGTAGCTATACTATGACAACTGAAGTTATTCATTTAAATTGTGACTTGTAACTGCAAAAGACAGGAAAAGATTGCAAAAAAAATTGAAAGGAAGTCAGTGATCAGATTATCCATGATCTCACTGAATGGTGCTGTAGTATTGATGGACTGAATGGTCTACTTCTGTTCCTACGTCTCATGGACTTGAAATTTTCACAAGCAGAACTACAGTATTCTAGACTAGTCTTAAAATTATGAATTTATGTAAAAACTGGAAAATACAGAATAAATACTTTGAGATATGAAACTGCTTTGCAGCATGTCATTTAGGTTTCATACAAATTTCTATTATGCTTAATACTTAGGGGAGGGCGTGGCATTGTGCTCACTAGTAATCCAAAGGCCCAAGCTAATGTTCAGGGGACAAGAGTTCAAGTTTTACCACGACAAATGGTGGGATTTCAAAACTCAAAATCTAAAAATATAAAACAGAAACTAGTCTAATAATGTCTATTTAACTACTGTGTGTAAAAACTAATCTGGTTTGCTAATGTTCTTTAAAGAAGGAAATTTTCATTTTTTTTTTTTTTAACATGGACTTCAGTAGGGTCTTTCACAAAGTTACATGTGGAAAGCTGATCCGAAAGCTGATCCAAAAGGTGACAGCCCATGGGATCCAACGGAAGTCTGTAAACTGGATCCAAAACTGGCTTGCAAATAGGAGGCAAAGGGTAATGATGGAGGTATGTGACTTGGAAGCAAATATAAAAGGTACAATTAACACAAAAATTAGTGGTGTTGTTGATAGCGAGGAGGATGGTGGCAGATTACAGTCTGATATTTATCAGCTGGTAAACTGGACAGAGCAATGGCAAATGGAATTTAGTCCTGACAAATGAGGTGATGAGATAACAAGGTGTAGAGCTGGATGAACACAGCAGGCCAAGCAGCATCAGAGGAGCAGTAAGGCTGACATTATGGGCCTAGACCCTTCTTCAGAAATGAGAGGTGATGCATTTTTAGAGATCTAATAAGGGAATGATAGATCAATAGGGAGCACTGAGGAACAAAGGGGCCTTGGTGCACAAATCCATAGATCCCTGAAGGTGTCAGCTCAGGTAGACAGGGTGAAGAAGGCAGCATACGGAATGCTTGCCTTCATTAGTCGGGGCATAAGAATATAGGAGCAATGAAGTCTTGTTACAACTTTATAACACATTGGTTAGGCCACAGATGGCATACTGTGTGCAGTTCTGGTCGCACCCTATTGGAAGGACATGATTGTATTGCAGAGGTGTAGAGGAGAGTCCCTAGGATATTGCCTGGGATGAAAAGTCACAGTTATAAGGAGAGATTGGATAGATGGAATTCTTGGAACAAAAGAGGCTGAAGGGGGAAATTTGATTCAGGTGTACAAAATTGTGAACGGCATAGACAGAACAGATCATGAGAATCATTTCCCTGTGGCAAACAAGTCTAAGACCAGAGCGCATAGGTTTAAGGTGAGGAGGAAGTAGTTTAGAGAGCTGAGGAAAAAAATCACAGGGTGGTAGAAATACGGAACATCCTGCCTGAGAGGTGTTGAAGGCAAATACTCTTGCCACATTTGAGAAGCATCTGGATCGACACTTAAAATGTCAGGGCATAGAGACTATCGACCAAGTGCAGGTAAATGAGATTCGTGTAGTTTGGTTTTTGTTGGTGAACACATACATGGTGGCCTGAAGGGCCTGTTTCTATGCTGTATGACTCTATGACTTTGTGCAGAATTTATAATAATTTATGAATAAATTATGATTGAATGGAGTAAGTTTTCTTTCGCAGTATAAAATTTACAAGGATTATAACAGAAACAAAACACATTATTAAGACAATGCCGCATTTTTGTTTGGAATGTCTTTAAAAAATTACGTTCGTAAAAAGCTAAAATTACATGTTAAACAATTTTTCAATAAATTAAAAGGAAAAGTTTTATGGCAAACAGCATTTTTAATTCAACCGAAAACATTTTAAACAAACATACCTGCAAGACTCTGAGTGCTTCTGCCAATGTAGGTGCAAGGCATCTTGTGGTATAAAAGCCAGGGCCATCCTGACAAAGATAAAGTTATCTTTTTAATCCAAGTACTTTATAACCAAAAGTCTCTTGATCACACAAAAACACAGGCTTGAAATAGATTCTTCACAAGGCATCTAACCAGATCGTATTCTTCAAAATATTCCCCCTTTATGGAAGTGAATGGAAAGCCCTTGAAATCTTAAAAACTTGCACAAACCTTCAATGCAGTACTCTGACACGGTGGTTAATCTTCTAAATTGCAATATGTATCTGACTTGAGTGTTGTGGTCTAAGTTAATAGACGTAGAAGGAAATTTGAATTAAGAAGTTTTGATTAAAAGTAATCAGGGAGACACAGGAGGCAAAGTACTACTTTTGGTGGACTTGTAATCCAAAGACACAGACAATGTTCTGGGGACCTGTGTTCAAGTCCCAAATGGTAGAATTCACTGACCAAAATCTGGTAAAGTCTAACAATGTGAAAGCATTGCTGTAGAAACTCAGCTAACTTGATAATTTCCTTTAGGGAAGGAAAACTTGGTCCTTACTTGATCTAGCCCATATGTAACTCCAGACACGCAGCAAGGTGGTTGACTCTTAAATGCCTTCTTAAAAGGCCTGGCAAGCCACTCAGTTCCATCAACCACTAGAAAGCCTATAAAGAAACACCTGACCTTGAGCTAGGTATTGGAAGTGAGCAAATTTAGCCCTATCAATCCTTTATCGTGCTGCTTACTAATATCTGGAAACTTGTTCCAAAATTGAGAGCTGTTTCACAGACTGGTCAACACCCACTCTACCATTACTGTCAAGCTAGGGGCTGAACGTTAGTTCAATGAAAAATGTAGGGGGGCATACCCATAGCAGCAGTCATATCTAAAAATGAGATGTCAACCTGGTGAAGCAAGAAAACAGGACCACTTATGTGCCAAATAGCATAAGCACTGAGTGACAGACAAGGCTAAATGATTCTGCAACCAATAAACCAGATCTAAGCTCTGCAGTCCTGCCACATCTAGTCCTGAATGCTGGTGGACAATTACCAATGCTTTGAAGCAGGCAGCTCCTCAAATGTCCTCATTATCAATGATGATGTAGCCCAGGACAAAAACAAGGTTGAATAATTTGAAACAATCTTCAGCCAGAAGTGCCAAGTTGATGCTCCAACATGGGCCTCTCCAGAGGTACCGGCACCACAGATGCCAGTCTTCAGCCAATTCAATTCAATCCACATGCTACCAAGAAATGGCTGGAGCCACTAGATACTGCAAAGGGTACGAGCACTGCAACATTTTGCCAATAGTATTGCAGGCACCGCTTCAGAACTTGTTGCAGCACCAGTCAAGCTGTTCCATTATAGCTACCACACTGGCATCTACTTGACAATGTGGAAAACTGTCCAGGTCAAATTATTGCCCCATCAGTGTACTCTCAGTAATGAGTAACAGAAGGGGTCATCAACAGTGATACCAAAGAGCACTTGCTTAGCATTAACCTGCTCACTGTTGCTCTGTTTTGGTTCCATCACAGTCTCTCAGCTCTTGACCGCAATACAACTTTGGTTCAAACATGACTAAAGACGTAAATTCTAAATGTCAGGTGACAGAGACTGAAATTAACATCGAATGCGCAGTTGACCGAGTGTAGCATTAAGGAGCCCTAGCAATAAATGGAGACTTGCTATTTCTAGTGCAACTTGTCTAGTTATATTTTGAAATAATTGAGCTGTGCACAAGTGTCCATATAAATATTACATAAGTAATTATTGAATTAGTTTGTTCAAAAATCAATTAACAATGAAAATACAGTGTACACAATGGAGCAGCAAGAACATATTTTGTAAGAGTTCTTACTTGGTTCAAGAGACAGAAACAGTATACTGCAACAATCAAACGCATGTACGCAAAACAAAAACATGTGATGTCATCATCAGCCATTAACAACTTAGTGTAGCCTTCTTAATAAAGCTCCTTCTGGTTAACACTTCAGCCTTCTGGTTCTTCTTGGAACACAAGTAACACTGTGATTATGTTATTGGACCAGTAATCCAGTGATTTGAACAAATAGTCTGAACACATGAATCAAACTCCCTGCGAGGCACTTCTGGAATCTCCCAAAACAGGAAACATCCTTTTTCCCTTGCAGACTGTCAATACCGCTCAGGATCTTGTATGTTTTAATCCAGTCACCTCTTACTTCTCTAAACTTCATCAAACTTCATCAGATACAAGCCCAGCCTGTTCAACCTTTCTTACAAGATAACCCACCATTCCAAAACTAGTCTGGCAGACCTCTGAACTGCTTCCAATACACTTACGTACTTCCTTGAGCAATTACTGCACATACTTCAGATGTGGTCTTACTAATGTCCTGTATAGACGAAACATAATCTCTTTTGTATTCAATTCCCTTACAATAAACAATGGCATTCGAGTATGTTTGTTACAAACAGACAACATGACTGACATGCAAGGCATTAAAAATTTACTACTAGCACGGTTGGCTCTACGTATTTCAGGATGGTGTAGGACTCATCCAGGTTTTTTTCCAGGATGGTGTAGGACTCATCCAGGTTTTTTTCCTACAGCACCTTCTGCGTAGAAGTACGAAAGCAGAAGACTGACTCATAGAAACATCACTAACTCCAAACACATGCACCATCCTGACTTGGATGTCCTTCAAAACCCCACAATTGAAATCCTAGGACATTTGTTGGTACCACAGAAGTTATTTCATCATGTGGACCAGTGTGGTTTAAAGGAGTAGTTTGCTATCATATGCTCAAGCGTAACTAGGGAATGGGTGATGCCCACATCCCATGAATAAATAAAAATTTTATAATCCACAATATACGAGAGTTTGATTGGATGTGAATATGCCAGGGGATGGGAACCTATGTAAGGAGTCAGAGAAGGAGGGAGCGAGGACAAAAACAAAAGATAGAAAAAGGAATAAGAAAAGTGATAGGCACAGAAAGCAAGGACAAAATTCAAACAGGGCTATTGAGAAAAATAAGACCAGGACAAACTGTGTTAAAAAGACAAGCTTAAAAGGCTTTCTGCCTTAATGCACACAGCATTTGCAATAAAGTAGATGAGCTAATCGTGCAAATAGATTCAAATGGGTACGATATAATTGGGATTATAGAGACATAGCTGCAGGGTGACCAGGGATGGGAACTGAATGTCCTAGGGTAGTCAATATTTAGGAAGGATAGAAAAAAAGGAAACGGTGGTGGAGTGGCATTGCTGGTTAAAGAGGAAATTAACACAATAGTGGGAGAGGATATTAGCTCTTGACAATGTGGAGTCTGTATGGGGAGAGTTGAGAAATACCAAGGGGCAAAAAACATTTGTGAGTGTCATACATAGACTGCCAAACTATAGTGATGTTGGAAATGGCATTAAACAGGAAATTAGGGATGCATGTGATAAGGGGATATCAGTGATAATACATGATTTTAATCTGCACATACATTGGGCAAATCAAATTAGCCACAATGCCGTACAGAAGGAATTCCTGGAGTGTATACTGGATGGTTTTCTTGACCAATATGTGGTGAGCAGGCCATCTTAGACTGGGTACTGTGTAATGAGAAGGGAATCATTGCCAAATCGAACTGTGTGAGACCCCTTTGGGATAAGCGAACATAACATGATAGAATTTTTTTGTCAAGGTGGAGAGTGATGCAATTGATCTGGAGACTCGGGTACTGAACCTTTATGAAGGAAACTATGCAGATATGTGATGTGAGTTAGCCTTGATAGATTGGGGAGAGTTACTTAAAGGGATGACACTGGATAGGCAATGGCAAATATTCAAGGAAGGCATGGGGCAAACTGCAACAACTGTTTATTCCTGTCTGGCGCAAGAACTAAATGGTTAAGAGGCAAATCCATGGCTCACAAAGAAAATTAGGGACATTATCTGATCCAAGAAAGAAGCATACAGATTGATCTAGCAAAATAATATGTCTGAGGCCTAGGAGCAGTTTAGAATTCAGCAAAAAAAGACCAAGGGATTGATGAAGGGGAAAATTCAATACAAAAGTAAGCTTGCAGGGAACATAACGACTGACACAAAGAGTTACTATAGGTACGTGAAGAGAAAGATATTGGTGAAGAAAAATGGAGGTCCCGACAGACAGAAACAGGGGTATGTCTAATAGGGGACAAAGAAATGGCTGAGCAAATGAATACACATTTTGGTTGAGTCTTCACAAAAGAGGACACAAATCAGATACCAGAACGGTTGGAGACGTAAGATTTGATGAGAGGCAAAAATTGAGGGAGATCAATATTATTAGAGAAATGGTGCTGGGAAGATTGACGGGATTGAAGGCGGATAAATCCTCAGCGCCTGATAATCTACATCCCAAGTACTTCAGGAAGTGGTTCTAGAAATAGTGGACGCATTGGTGGCCATCTTCCAGGATTCGATCTATAGACTCTGGAACAGTCCCTGCAGATTGGAGGGTAGCTAATGCCACTCCAGTATTCAAAAAGGGAGGTAGAAAGAAAACAGGGAATTATAGGCCAGTAAGCCTAACACCGGTGGTGGGAAAAATTCTCGAATCCATTGTCAAGGACTTTATAGCAGAGCATTTAGATAGCAGTGGCAGGATCAGACAGAGTCAGCATGGATTTATGAATCATGCTTGACAAATCTGTTGGAATTCTATGAAAATGTAACTAGTAGAGTTGACAAGGGGGAGCCAGTCGATGTGGTATATTTGGACTTTTAGAAAGTGTGAGACAAAATCCCGTGTAAGAGATTAAAGTGCATGGGATTGGGGAAAGTGCATTGAGATGGATAGAAAACTGGTTGGCAGCGAGGAAACAAAGAGTAGGAATTAATGGGTCCTTTTCAAATTGGCACGCAGTAACCACTGAGGTGCCAGAGATCGGTGCTGGCACTCCAGCTATTCACAATATATATAATGATTTTGATAAGGGAACAAAATGTAACACTTTGAAGTTTGCAGATGATACCAAGTTGGGTGGGAAGGTGAACTGTGACGAGGATGCAGAGAT